TGGAACAGACAGCGTTATTGGCAGAAACCAAAAGAGCGAATCAGAGTAAAATTATTGAGTATTAACCTCCGCGTGGTGGAGTTTCATACAGAAATCATTACAACTACATGAACCCAAAATTGGGAAAATGGATTGACGCTTACGATCGCAACAAAGCAGGTGGTCGGACAAAGATGTCTTGGCAAAAGCACATGAAATATATTCAGGTGGTGGTAATAGAAATTTCAATTTAATGGAAAAATGGGTCGCTGTCTGTGATCAACCACGTTATGGTAGTCAGGTAAGAGAAAATACCAGCTCTGGAAGTAGTGGGTCTAAGCAAGCCCACAAGAATGATGCTAGTAACTCCAACTCTGTAGGATCCAGTGCTCATCTAATGGGGAGATATGCAGCTAAGAAAAAAATATAAAAAGAAAACTAAGGGCGTAGCCTTGAAGTGGTCAACGAAGATTTTAATGAATACAAACAATTCAAGGCGCAAGAGTTGGAACGCTTGGAAAAAATAGCCATGTTGCAAGAGTAGGCAAACTAAAAGCAACAGGAGGCAAGTCAAAGGCCAGAGAGGAAAACCAATTACTAAAGAAAGACTCGGCTAGAGATGAAGATGTGGACGAAGCTAAGTGAAAAGGGACTGTCTCAATGATCAGGGCAGAGAGCTTTTGCAGAAGTTGAGCGACAAATTATTTGGAAATTTAATTGTAGTAACAAGTGGCTATCTGTATCATGTCGTGAACTTCGTTGTGAACTAACGTCTGTATAATATGGTGTATTATCTAGCGGACTGTATCTATCATTCTTATCCTACTTTTGTCAAATGGATTAGGCTTCCTCAAAGTGAACCGGACAAGTTATTTGCAAAAGTTCAGGAGGGATGTCTGAAGGATATCGAACATGCATTTGGAGTGTTGCAGGCTTGATTTAAAATTATTCGCGAACCAGCTCGCATGTGGGACATAGCCGATCTTGCTATCATCATGAGGTCATGTATCATATTGCATAATTATATTGTTGAGGATGAACGAGATATATATATACTCAACAATGGACTGATTATGATCAATTTGAGGTAAGTGGGTGTAGTACACCGCAACCATTCTCGACCGAAGTGCTACCTGTATTTTCAAATCACGTGCGTGCTAGATTTGAGTTGTGTGTTTCAAGTGTACATCACGAATTGCAAGCAAATATAGTCAAACATATATGGGCAAGATTCAGAATGTTACATGATCAAAGAGAATTTTAAGTTTATGAGTTGAGTCTATTGTACTAATTAACTTATGTGTATTTTATTAGTTGTGTCGTATGCTTTTCAATGTATTGTATTATTTTTAAGTTTTTTTGTAATTTTCTATGTTTTAATAATGATTCTCTCTATTTCTCGTCCTTATTACTTGCAATTTTTTTTAATAAGAAAAAAAACAAAAATTTGTTTCAATCGATAATTATTATTAATATGTAATTACAGAACAAAAACATAAATAAAATATAAATAATAAAATAAAAATGATGGGATAGGGTGTTTAATCTTATTAAACAAATCATTGTAAAGTATAAAATTTTAGTGGGTGTTGAATTATTAGGTGAAAGAGAAAGGAGATGATATGGAAGAGAGAGAAGGTAATATAGAGAGTGTTGATAGTTAAAATCACAGGAAAATAGCCAATTCCTACCTCAACTATTTCAAATGGTGTGAATTCCTACACGAGAAATTTAGTTGCCTAAATTCATACATGAACCCCTAAAATTTGGACAATTCATACATGTATTAATAACTTTTTTGACAAACCCAGACATTACCCATAACCCGTTTGTTAACGATCCCATTTCGTTAACGAAAAGTAGTCATGTACCACTTCGACTACACTGTTGGCACCGGATGTTAAAACGACGATGTTTTTGACATTTAATAACAAAACGACATTGTTTTGTATAAAGTACAGAATTAAAAATTTATCTTCCCCGACAATTCTAATGTCTGAGTTTCATCAAAATCAGGGTTATAATGTCTGAGTTTCATCAAAAGTCAGGGTTAGATTCGCAAAATCGACTATAGTAGAAGAAAGAAAAGCCAACTTCGACTCTGGAGATAGAAATCAAAAGAATCTTTTGAGTTTGAGAAAAAATGAGATAATTCAGCATTTAGGGTTTAGGCTCAGTTGTCACAGAAACTTTAAACGACGTCATTTTGAGTATTGGCCCGAAAAAAATTTGAGTCCAATACGATTGTGTTTTGAGAAGAAAAATAAATCTCTAAACTAAAATTCATTTTGTCGCCGTGTTGAGATAGAGGGGAGTCGGTGAGATTGAGAATAATAGGAATTAGTGGTTCTTCTCCGATAATCTGTGTGAGTTAGGCAATGAATAATGAATCTATTAGTGCGGTTTTCATGTGCAGTTTTTGAAAACCGCTTACATGTTACCATTCATTTTTTTTATAATGTGTTTTGCGTTTTTTTTTAAAGTACATAACACTGTTTGCGTTTTTATCAAATACTCTATATTTTTAAAAACCCCACTTATAGTTTGACCACATCTATTAGTTAGCAGGTCAAAACGAATTCCGCCATGGATAATATAAAATATAAAATTTTCTTTTTTAATTTATTATTAATTATTAGTTCTTTCAAAAAAAAAATATTAAACGAAGTATAAAATTTGTTAATATTGATTAAAACATATTATAGTCTAATAGATATACTATATTATTGTCCAATAAACATACTGTGTATAATTTTAAAATATTTAAATATAATACCAATAAACATATTTGTTCAATAGTACATAATTTGTTTGAAAACAACCAAAAATCTATTTATTTTAACGTGATTTAGTTTTTAATTACAACTAAATTATTTTTATATATTTATTATCTTACAATTTATAATATGTACTATTTGTTATTTTGTTCATTATTCAAACATTTTATTGTAAACCGCAATCTGTTTTTTCACCAATCAAACACTATTTTGTACCGCTTATTATATACAAATCGCATTTGTTTCGCAAATATACTTTTCCGCACGTACCGGACTTAAACCGTATCGCACTTTAAAACCGCTTTTCCGCACAACCAAAAACGATGTTACCATTCGGACCCTTAGTAGGAATTGTTTGTTTTGGAAGATAGAGAAGCCAATTTCGAGTTCAGCAATCCAAAACGACTTCTCGATTGCTTTAAAATAAGGTAATTCGAAATTTTAGGGTTTAACTTTTGGTGAAATGGTTAGAATTGTTTATTGGTTTCAAATTGTTTAATCCTTACTAATTATTTTAATGGTTTTCAGTGATTCGGATTGCATGTCATCAACCATGGTGGGAAATTTGATAAATATGAAAACGGTGAACTACATTACATCAATGATGTACTCATTCTCTGGCGATTCAAGCCCTAATTGATGTTGCTGTTCTTCCCCAATTTTTAGATGTACCTCGACGAAGAAGACAACTTCCTTTCTCCTAAAACGTTGTCGCTTAGTTTTTTTTTAAAACTTAAAATCTTAGCCCAAAAACAACAACATTTTAAGTCTACAGAATAAGAGTTTTTGTATGTCAAACGACAACGTTTTTAAGGTGCTATGACAACAGGGCATCCAGCGTGGAAGAGGATATTGAAATACCGGGAAAACGGTTAATCCCTACCCAAACAAACTATGAAAATTGATACCGATTCATACCTGAGAAATTTAGGTGTGCAATTCCATACCCAAACAGTTTGAAGCGGATTAAGAAAAAAATTAACAACTTAAACGAGCATTTGCTAACGGTTGCAGACATAGACACGGTACAAGAATGATCTGAACCTGTTTTACAGCTCTACATGTATGACACGAATGATCTGAACTTGCTTTTACAATTTTACATGTATGACATTTTTTGATGTTTTGTTGTTTAGTCGAAGTTGGATGCTGGTGAAGTTCTCCAATCTTGGAGATAATTGGTGTTCATGCTAATCAAAACAGAGGTTTGCCATTCATCAAAATAAATATGCCATATATCTCTACTAGTATTTAATGAAATATAGTTTTCTCATAAAACCTAGAACTGGATGAACTAACTTGTTTATTCTTTGAAAAATTTAGACGATTGCTGGGCACATGCTCTTGCTCGAGGCCTATCTGCCGTCATAAAGCAATCTGGAAGAACCGAAAACCTTGCCAGTAGAGACTTGCTCGTAAGTCAGATCGATAGGAAGTTTTTGACAGAGACTGATGCATTGCCGAAGAATAGCGATGCTGCCTCTTTTTTGCTTAATGATTACGGCTGTCATTTTGTTGTGCATCATCTTTCAAAGCTGGAATCGGTCAAGGATAATGAAGACTTTGAGAAGTTTGTAGAGCGGTGACTAGCCATAGGTCCAGTTGCAGTTTGTTTCCCTTATGTGCCAGGTTATTCTCGTTTCTGCGATGAATACAAAAAAAAAGAGAAAGTAAGATTTTTAATCTATATTCAAATTTTTACTATATATCCAACTTATCTAGTTACAAAAAAATATCAACCTGATACATACTTAATTTTTACAGGCAGTTTTATGTCCAAGCCTCTCTGATATCGAGGTAATGCGTCACAAGAGTTTATATAACCATTGTGCTGTCATAACCGGTCCTGGAGTGGTGTGGAGGGGTCGTGAATAAGTTGAGTTTTGGGAGATCCAAGAATCATAATCCAGCCTTGATCGATACTGATTATTATAATGGATACAACCCATAATTAGTTAGAAAATGTTTAAACATACAAAATTAGAAGGTTTTATATGAAATCGTACGGATTTGTGCAAGAAAACAAAATTTAAAAGGCTAAAAAGGTGAATCATGAATGTATATGTGTTGAAACTTGAAAGGTGTGACTACACAAAAAGAGAGAGGCTATTTGCCTATACTTGTCCTAATTCGAGTGGATAAGTGCAACACGCATACACATGTTTCTCTAAGTAGATAACAACATTAATATCATTTTCCTTAAACCACTCAATTAAATCTACAGAATAGACCACAGATGACGTCGATGCTAGGGTTTAGCGAAAAGGCGATTCTTTGGCAATCGCAATCTAGCTTCTGCTGTTAATCTCGTACATCAAGATCATCACTTCAAGACGTGGTTACAAATCTCTTGTCTCTTTTACCAGGTACTGCTGTGTGCAGTCATTTACATCATCTTACTGAAGTTTGCAGTCCGTTTGATTATTTTCTTCCTTACAATCATGATCTACGCCAACAGCTCAGAGTATATATTTTTTTTTTCAGCGGGTTTCTTCCTTCTTAAGTCAGATTTCCATTAGCAACACCGTACCAGGATGTCTAGACGATACACCAGAGAAGAAACAGGTAATAGCATATCCTCCTTTAAGAGATGGACTCGAGACCAACCAGCCTGTCTTCTTCCCATAGACAACTCGGATCTCATAGAAGACAATAAGCTCACTCTTATTGGGAAAGTCCTAAACCCCTCAGGTTTGGGGAGTAAGAGGGAGAGTTGAAGGGAAATAACTTGGCCGGGAAAGATTCAAATTTCACTTTGAAACGGAGAAAGAGCTACAAATGGTCCTAAGAAGCGCACCTTACCACTACAATCGTTTGATGCTCATCTTATAACGTTGGGAACCAATAATTTCTGATTCGTTCCCCTGCTACATACCTTTCTGGGTCACCATCCATTACGTTCCTATCCACTCCTTGAAACTTGACATTCTCAAAGCCATAGGCAATGAATTGAGGACCTTCATTGACCATGGCGTTAAAGAGAGTCGGGTTAGAGTACACATCAATGCCCTGAAGCCTCTTCTCATGAAAAAGGTTTTTGCCTTTCCAACCGTAGAGGAAGCCTCTTTGGAATTCGAATTCGAGCACCTGGAGAAACATTGTTTCATTTGCCTCAAGCTCAGCCATGAGGATGAGGAATGCCCTCTGAAGAAAGACCCCAACTCCAGTCATGTAAGGATCATGGGAATAAACCAACAAAACACAATCCAACGTTTGGAAGCTGACTGCTGATATGTGAATATCGACAAGGGACAAAACAGTATTTTAGATCGGAAACTCGGTTTTTATTAGATCAAATCAAGCAAATACAACTGAGTTCGGTTATTCAGATGGACAATAACGAACTAAGACTTAATGCAACTAAGAGTCTAGCGTAATGAGCTCTCAGTCTCTAAGTCTTCTCGGGAATATCTTCTGTTCTCTGGTGTCAATTCGTCTCCCTTTATATATCCTCTAAGTCGGTCTTCAAGCACGTCTTAAGCGATATGGGACCGAGAGAACTTTCCTTTTCTCTCGGTTCCTTTCCTTTTCTCATGTTCGTTTCTTTTTTCAAATAGGAAGCTTTCCTATTTTTGACCGAACTCGGGGAGCTTCTCCATTCCTTCGAGAAGCTTCTCGCCGACCTCAGCTTAATGGGCTGTATTCGGCCCAAGATTTCACTAAGCCCAGTCTTCCCGGTACAATCCTTCGTAAACCAGGCTTACATTTCGCCGATCTCGGTTTGTACCGGAGAAAATCGAGGTGCGGTTTTCACCTCCAACAGTTAGCCCTCCCCCCTCAGTTCGATGAAAGGGAATGACTTTTTAGTCGAACTCATTTGATTCAAAGTAGGTCACAAACTGAGATCGGTAACTGCAGTCGATTCGTATTCCCGGACGTTTCGCACCCTGTCTTCAATGAGACGCGTGAATTACGGGATCTTCACGAAAATCGAGGAACCCACGATTCCCACTGTTTATAAAGGGGAAAACTCCTCTTCACATTCATTACTCTCGCTCAAGCATATATAAGGTACGCTGCTCTCCCTTCTCTCTAGATTTTGTTTCTCTCTCTAGTTTTCATTTGTAATTTTCTCTCGTTTCTTCAACTCTCGCCGCCGCGAATCCTTGAGTTTTCCGATCTATCTTCAAGTTTTCCGTTCGATCTTCAAGTTCTCTGATCAATCTTCAATATTTTCCGGTTGATCTTCAAACTGTTCTTCAATCTTCTTAGATCTCTTTCGACTCTTCTTTTCCGAACTCAAAATGTCTTCTAGTTCTTCCATTAACTCTTCTTCCAATCAAATCCTTCCGGAGGATCGCCGTGAACCCTCGAAGCCGAGCTCTTCTTATTAAAATCCTCATCAATCGAGTTCGTCTCAGGAAGAGAGCAATCCTCCACAGTTAGTTCGTAAGAACTCCAAGTCGGTGGAAGCTAGCAGCAGCCGTGCTAGATCTAGAGTTGAAGCCACCGAGCGTCTGATTACAGAGACTCGCAAAACGGAGGCTCGGACAGGGCCGAACGCTGGCGGTAATAATCATGAGATCGATGAGATCGAGGAGGCCGAAGAAGAAAATCAGGAGGAGGACGCCACTGAGGGTGAAGTTGCCGAAGACAACCTTGAAGCGGTGAACCATGCTTCACCACCACTTCCAAGACGAAGGGTCGTTCGTCCTAACAACGTGCCGTCTTCCTCGGTTACTTCGGGTGCTATTCAGGCCGTGCTCGAAGAAAATGGGCTCTCGGATCAAATTGCTTTCATAATTCCTGAAGCTGGAGATCGGCCATGGGACGTCCCCGAAGGCTTCCTCTGCATATACCTGACCTACTTCACACAATGCGGGCTTTCGCTTCCAATTCCCTCCCGTCTGCTCGGGTACTGCAATCGGCGAGGCGTAGCTCTCACGCAGGTGATGCCGGCTTCTACAACGAACTATGTAGGGTTCGTCTCCTTATGCGAAGAGCTCGGTGAGATTCCAACTAGTCGGTTGTTCGAGGATCTCTTTTCGGTGAACATCCACAAATCCAAGGAGTGGTTTTTTGCTGCGAACGCTAACCCGAAGAAGAACATCGTTACTGGACCTAAGCCCAGTAAATTCAACGACTGAGAATCTCTATATTTCTATCTTGAGATGAACGATCTCACCGTCAGCAATTCTGACATCCCAACTCAATCGGAGTGGAAGATTCTGATTGGTAGACCTAGACGAACTTATACTTCTGCTAATTTTGATTTTGTTGCTTGCTAACTTTATTTCGTTCCATCTTTGCAGGTCATCATCTCCCAAGTATCATGCTCAACTCCGGTCTTACATCCGAGTTCGAAGAAGCCTTCAGTGAAGTCGGTAAGCGTCGTTGGCCTGAAGTTTGCGAGGAAATTCTTCAGCGTCGAGCTAAGAAAGCAGGTTGGATTATCGAACTTGGTTTTATTTGTTTTATTCTGAGTTTACTCCGAACTCCTCCTTGACATATTTTTATTGCAGGTTCTGTTCAAGAACCGAAACCGCGAAAGCCAAAGGCTCGAGCTAGCAAGCCGCGAGCCGCTCCCAAACGTAAAGCACCGAAATCGCGAGCTCAACGTACCCGGACTGCCAGGATGCTCTCACTGGATGAGATCCCAACTCTCTTTGACGAAGAGGAGCCGAACGTGGCAGATCCGACCCCTGTCCCTGCTGCCGAAGGGACCAATGAGCAGCCGGAGGAACTGCTGCGAACTCACCTGACCAAACCGGTCAGAAGAAACTGAAGAAGAAGAAGTCTTCAAAGAAGACTAAGAGGACTGAAGATTCTTCTCGAGTGCAAGATGTACCCGCTGAGCTCGATCCACCGGCGGCTGTGGCGTCGGACCTCGCTCTTTCTCAAGACCGAGCTGAAGCTTCTCACTCCCGCAAGAGACAAGCTAGGGATCATGCCGATGGTTCTCCAGAGCTTGAGCCGGCGAAAAGGGCTAAAGTCTGTTTTGACTACGATGAAGAGACTCCTTTCGAGGAGAACGTCGACGCCTGCGCCGAGCTCTACCACAAGATCTCTTCTTAGGTCCCGAGCCTCCCGTCGGTCCCCGAGCTCCGATTCCCTAACATGTACAAGGGAATCACACGTACAACTGCTGTGGTAACTTTTTGATTCCATTTCTTTATTCAATTATCTTAAGTGTGAGCTCTGATTCGGTTCTCTTTTTCGCAGCTCGCCAGCCAGACCAAGAATCTGGTCGCTGCTTACGAAGTAGCTCTATTCGACGAGCAAGTGAGGGTCACGGAGCTGGAGGAAAGAGTTGCTAAAGCTGAGGAACGTCTCGCCACCGAGCTCCAGATTAATGACACCTTGCACTGTTCGGTGGATCTGCTGAAACAAGAGAGCGCGGAGCTAAAAGCGGTGAAGGCCAAACTGACCGAGGCTCAAAGCTTCCTTTCTAGGGAGTTTGAGAAGGTCAAGGGGCGAATGCAGGACATGGTGGCACACTGGAAGGCTCGGGCTAAGAGCGTGCATGCAAAGGCCTGCGAGCGTTTAGAGAAGATCATCCGAAGCTTGGTTGATGCTGACCGAGCTCGTAAGCCATACTTGGTGGTCAACCAGCTCACCGGAGTTCTTGGCTTCATCAAGCAGCTTAAAAAGAAAGGCTTATATGAGGTCCCAGTCGAGATGGTTACCGACATCGAGGCAAAGCATGATAAGGCATTGCAAGAGTTCCGCTCGGTCGACGCTTGCGTCCTCACGGAGGAAGACAAGCGGATGTCTCCATTCCCGAAAAAGGATGATGCCCCGGTTATAAATGTGACTCAAAGCGCGCAGGATCTCGTAAGGTGCGAGCAATTTGGATCGAATGAGGACATGCTGAATGCCGATCAAGATGCGACCTCAAAGACCGCCTAATCTTTTTCTTTTTCTTTTTAATCGAACTCAACTGCCCTTTCATGGGTTACTTTATGTAATATTTTGTTTATTTCCGAACCCTCAGTGGGTTTTTAACTTTATTTGCCTCTCGGGAGGCTTTAATTATATGCTCGTTTTTCCTCTTCATTCTTGTTTTTAGAAAAAATCTTCCAAGTAGTAGATCGGAACCTGACTTTAACTTTGACTTTATTTTGTCGATAACGTTTTGCAATTAATGCTTAAGTACTAGATCAGTACACAGTAGATGATGTTCGAACATAATTTTATCTTTCGATGGCGAATTGCGATAATTCGGTTTACGTTTTGCGAGTGTTGTGAATTCGGCTTATGGTGCGAATCTGAGGAGTTCGGCTTATTGTGCGAGCACTTGAGCTCGGCCTGGGGAACCCAAGTGAATCGTTTCGTACTGGAAGAGTGAATTAATTCGAACTCCTGTAAACGCACGAAACGAGTTCAAGGTTTTTTAAGTCGAACCTAAGTATGCGAGATGTGCTCGGCTTATTGTTCTTGGTGACTTAGAAATTCAACTGCGGGACTGGGCCCGGCTTTTGATATGTGGCTTAACCACGACACCATGTGGGTGCTCGCGAGACGGATCTCGGCTTTTTAGTTTGCATTCATGTGGAATGCTATCGAACAACTGGCCAGGAAGTCGATGTAAGAACAAGGAGTTCGGTACCTTGTGATTTCCGAACTAGAACTTAAGACAGATTTGACTTAATAAAATTTTATTGATGTTATAGCTGGACTCGGTAACGAGCTGCCTACGTACCCTTTAAAGGGATCAAGCCATTCGTAGTTCTAAGTACAAAAGTGTTTTTTGCTCCGACTAAATAGTTCGAAGGCTTTTTTTTTTTTTTTTTTTTGGCGAGGCTCGCAACGAACAAGTAGTAGTATCGTTTGAGATGCATCGAGTTCCAAGATCGCGGGATCGGAGTTCCGTCTAACTTTATGAGTTGATAAACGCCGAGCTTAACAACCTTCATAACCTGGTACGGTCCTTCCCAGTTCGCGCCAAGTTTTCCTGCGTTCTTCTCTTCTGTGTTTTGATAGACTTTGCGAAGTACGAGATCGCCATCTTCAAAGTGACGGCCCTTAACTTTTTTGTTGTCGTAGCGAGCTGCAAGTTGCTGGTAGTTCTGTATCCGGAGCAATGCTCGTTCGCGATGTTCTTCGACTAAGTCGAGTGCGTCGATCATCATGTTGTAATTCGCGTCGGGTTGCTGGGTAAGCATAGTTCGGCGAATACTTGGGACGTTGAGTTCGGCTGGACACATAGCTTCTGTGCCATATGCAAGGAACAATGGTGACTGACCGGTCGAACGTCGTGGTGTAGTTCGGTGAGACCACAAGACGCCGTCAAGTTCGTTCGCCCAAGTTCCCTTAGCGGTATCGAGTCGTTTCTTCAGTCCGTCAATGATGGTCTTGTTTGTGGCTTCGGCTTATCCGTTTCCTTGCGGGTATCGCAGGGTAGAGAAACTTAGTCGGATCTTCCACTTGGAACAAAAATCTGTGAAAATGATCGAAGTGAACTGGGTTCCGTTGTCCGTAACGATCTCGTACGAGACTCTGTGTCGGCAGATGATGAACTTCCAGACGAACTTCTTGACATCGATTCCATGAATCTCGGGGTATGCTTCGGCTTCGACCCATTTGGTGAAGTAATCCGTGACGACCAGAACATATTGCTTCTGAGTTGTAGATCGGCGAAAAGGACCGATGATGTCCATTGCCCAGCGCATGAAAGGATATGGTGCGGTAGAGGTCATCAAGAGCTCGGTGGGAAGATTGATCATCGGGCCGTGACGTTGGCACTTCTCGCAGCGTGCTGTATACTTTTCGCAGTCAGAAAGCATAGTAGGCCAGTAATAGCCGGGTTTTTTTATCTTGAACGCCAAGGACGAGCTCCGGAGTGATTTCCTCCGTCTCCTTTATGAACCTTCTGCATTACTTCCATGATGTCGTTGCCGTGAACACAAGTCAAGAGTACACCGGAAGCGTCCCATCTGAGAAGAGTACCTTTAATGACCACATATCGAGCTGCGCGAGCCTTAAGGCGCCGAGCTGCCCATTTATCTGCGGGAACTGTTCCGTCTCCGATGTATCCCACGATTTCTAAGGTCCAATCTTCGGGTTCGTCCTCTCCTTCGGCTTCGATATTGATTGGAACATGTTGGCCTTCGGATTCATTTTCGGGATCGGATTCGTTATCATTGAGCTCGTCTGTGTCGTTGTTGGGATCGGGAACGACCTCTTTGGGTTTCGTCTTCCGAGTGAGGGGTGGAGCGAGATTGGGTTGGGCTTCGTAATCACGTCGTCTTGTAATGATGTTGCAGTTCGGAGCGGGCTCGATACGTGGTCGCTCGATTGCTGCAATTGCGATAGTTCGCCGAAGGTCAGGATCAGAATTAGTCGCGAGAGCGGCTAAGGCGTCGGCGGTTGCATTCTCATCTCGAGGTATCTTTGTAAGCTCTAAGGTAGAGAACTCTGAAGCAACATCCTTAAGGACTTTGAGATATGCGTCCATGCGGTCGTTCTTAGCCTCGTATTCGCCGTGAAACTGGTTAGCCACGAGTTGAGAGTCGCAGTAGGCGTGTATATGCTCGGCGCCGATACCTTTGGCAAGTAGTAGTCCGGCAATCAATGCTTCGTTGTTGGACGCCGGGAAGCCGAGTCGAAATGACTGCTCGATAACTTCTCCTTCGGGTGATTTGAGACGAATTCCGACTCTGGATCCTCTATGGGACGAGGAACCGTCGGCGTGAAGGATCCAGGGTTGTACGACCGGATTAGCTTCGACGAGCTCTGGTGGGAGTTCGACCAAGAAATCTGCGAGGACTTGAGACTTCGCTGCAGTTCTTCCTCGGTATTTGATGTCGTATTCACTGAGTTCGATGGCCCTCTTGGCGAGTCGTCCGGACTGACTTGGGCTACGGAGGAAAGTACGAACAGGGTGATCGGTTAGGACCACGATCGCGTGAGATTGGAAATACGGGCGTAATTTCCTTGCAGAAATAACGACGGCAAAGGCGAATTTCTCCAAAGTCGGATAACGATACTCCGATCCATCGAGGGATTTGCTTGTGTAGAAAATTGACTTCTGCTCGCCACGATCTTCTCGAACAAGTACACTACTGACTGCAAACTCCGAAATCGCGATATAAAGATAAAGTGTCTCGCCGGTTTCAGGTTTAGATAAGACTAGCGGAGTGGACAAATATTTTTTTAGCTCGGCGAAGGCTTCTTCACACTTCTCATTCCATTCGAGATGCTTGTTACCGCGAAGAAGTTGGTAGAAAGGCAAGCACTTGTCCGTCGATCTGGATATGAATCGATTAAGTGCTGCGATACGTCCGGTGAGTCGCTGAACTTCGCGTTTGGTTGTCGGCGATGGGAGCTCGAGAATAGCTGCGATCTATTTTGGATTAGCTTCAATGCCTCGCCGTGTAACGATGTATCCGAGGAACTCTCCAGATGTCACGCCGAACGTACACTTGGTGGGATTAAGCTTCATACCATACTGGTCCAAAATATCGAAGCATGTGCGAAGATGGCGGACGTGATCGGAAGCGATGAGTGACTTTATGAGCATATCATCGATGTAAACTTCCATAGTTCGCCTGAGCTGGCTCGCGAACATCCGATTTACCAGTCGTTGGTACGTTGCTCCAGCGTTCTTCAGGCCGAAGGGCATGACCTTATAGCAGTAGATGCCGCGGTCCGTGATGAACGCCGTCTACTTGGCGCGCCAATTGTTGATATGTGAATATCAACAAGGGACAAAAAAGTACTTTAGATCGGAAACTCGGTTTTTATTAGATCAAATCAAGCAAATACAACTGAGTTCGGTTATTTAGATGGACAATAACGAACTAAGACTTAATGCAACTAAGAGTCTAGCGTAATGAGCTCTCAGTCTCTAAGTCTTCTCACGATCTTGCGGATGCATAAGAATCTGATTGTACCCGGAGAATGCGTCCATAAACGAGAGTAGTTCGTTCCCGGCAGTTGCTTCCACAAGGCGGTCAATATGAGGTAAAGGAAAGCTATCTTTCGGACATGCCTTATTGAGGTCAGTAAAGTCGACGCAGATCCGCCATTTACCATTCTTCTTCTTTACGACCACGGGGTTTGCTAACCAATCAGGGTATTTTACTTCGGTGATGGACCCTGCTTTGAGCAAGCGCTCGACTTCGTCGTTGACAGCCTGTGCTTTCTCCGGTCCAAGCTTTCGGCGTTTCTGCTTGATTGGCTTATACGTCGGATCGATGTTGAGCTCGTGACACGCGATTTGTGGATCGATCCCGGGCATATCCTCTACCGACCAAGCGAAAGTTGACGAGTGTTGTTTCAGAAAGTTGACGAGCGGCTCGCGGATGTTTGGGTCGAGTTCGGCACCGATTCCGACTTGTCGTTCTGGCCTTAGTTCGTCGATGCAGACTTGAACGATCGACTCCTGCTTAGGCTTTGTCTTCTGAACGACAAGCTCGTTCGTTGGTCCTAACGAACTGATGACGCAGGCTTGGTTGGCCGAACGTAGTTTGCATTCGTTTATGTAGCACGATCGAGCGATGGCTTGGTTTCCTCGGAGAGTGTAGACACCGTCGGGAGTCGGAAACTTCAGGCATTGATGATATGTTGAGGCGACCGCCTTCATTGCGTGTAACTAAGGCGTACCGAGAATAGCGTTGTAGATCGCTGGTTTGTCGAGGATGAGGAACTGGATAATTTTGGCGACCCCGCCGAGGTAGATCGGAATATTGACCATCCCGACCGTCATACATCGTTATTCATCGAAACCGGTAAGTGGCTCGATAAACGGCTCGATTCTATCTGATGCCAATTCGAGCTGATCAAGTGCTTCCTTGAAGATGATGTTGACCGAACTGCCCGTATCGACCAGAATGCGGCTAACTTCGACATCGTCGAGGAGTAGCTCGACGACGAGAGCGTCGTTATGCGGTTTATGCAACCCGATTGTGTCGGCCTCGGTAAATACCAAGGGCGTTCCCTTCGGCGGATCGTGTGGAACTTTGGGTGCGCTGGCGGCCTGTCTGCTATATTCTTTGATGGCTCGAACTGAATAACTGCAAGCTTCGATGGCTCCCATTATCATGTTGACACGTTTCCGTGCCTTAGGAGCGTTATTCTCTGGAGCTCAGTCATCACGATTCCGTTTTTGTTGCTCGGGCAAAGCAGGCGGATTCGGTGGTGGTGGTGGCAACGTCGGTAAAGCCGGCGGAGTTTGTGGGTCTTTGGTTAGGGCTTTTTCAAGTTGTTCGTTGTTTGGTCGGGGCATGTGCGAACGACGGAGATCATCGATCGACACTTGCCCGCCGCTCTTAGGCGCGTTCGAGCGTCGGAGGTCGTCAACCGAGATCGGCACCTTTCGATATTGGCCGAGCAAGTATTCCCGCAGATGTCTGCATTCTTCGGTGCTATGGCCTCTGCGGTTATGGAACTCGCAGAACAATGATTCGTCTTGATCTTCTTCACCGCGGACCCATTTATTATTCCACTGTTTGTTCGGTTGTTGGATTGCATTAGCGTAGAACTTCTTGCGATTCTCATACCCTCGACCGTATCCTGACTGCGGTTCACTAGTTGTTGCTTTCGAACGTTCGGGTTGCTTCGCCGAATAGCTTTGCTCGTAGGCGGCTTCTTCTTCTTCTTCGACGATATAAGTGTTAGCTCGGTGTGACGCATCTTCCAATGTCTGAGGGGGGTTGTGCGTGAGCGCGCTACGGAAGCTAGTCTTTATCCGAGCTCCTTTCTGGAGACAAAGAAGGGCGGCTTCGTCGCTGATCGTGCAATTGGCGACAATCGTTTTGAAGCGCTGGATGAAATCGCGAAGACTCTCGCTTGCTCTCTGAGTTATTTGCCATAGCTCGGAGTTCTTGGTGTTCTGCCCGATGAACATCGAGAAGTGTTTGACGAAGGCTGTTGTCAATTCCTTGTAGCTGTCGATCGAGTTCGCCTCGAGTCGCGAGAACCAATCGAGGGCTATTCCCCCCAGGCTTTCCACAAACAATTGGCACTGGACCGCATCTCTCTCCTCGGCGGTTCTGAATTGGTATCGTTTCATGCAGATGCCGAATGACGTCAAAAAGTGTCGGGGGTCGGTATTGCCCTCATAGACCTTCATCTTAAGTTTTTCCATGTGTTTGACCGGTGTTCCTGCTATGCGTGGCGTGAAGGGTGTTTTCTGCGTTTCTTGAATAACGCGCTCAATCTCCGGAGCCGCGCTTGTTGCTTGGTGTATCTTTGACGTGATCTAACGGAGTTGAGTCTTCATTGCCTCGAACTCGGCATCTCGACTTAAATCTGATGCTGGTGCGTTCGCTGATCCCACCGCGGTAGACCTCATAGTTCCGGCCGGATCTCCGTCGATATTAAGGTCTTTAATGATGTTTCGGACTCGAAGGGGAGTTCGGGTTTGACTGAGCTCAGCGATCTGCGCCGCCATCTGGCTAAAACGTTCCTCGCTCCTTTTGTTGATGGCTTCGAACTGAGCGTTGAATACTTGGAGCAAAAGTTCGGTTCCATAACCTCCTACGGCTGCGGGGGTTTGCCCGGCTGCGATTCCAGCGTTTTCCCCGGGAGTTCCTCCTGCCTGCTCTGTTGGAGCGTTCGCGTTTTCTCCACCGAGAGGGTTTCTTTCCTCCTGAAGGTTGGCTTGGTCCGTCATTGCTGATTCAATCTATCCGAAATCCGATCTAAAACTTGAGAAATCTGTTTAAGCCCCCTACCTGGCGCGCCAATTGTTGATATGTGAATATTGACAAGGGACAAAACAGTACTTTAGATCGGAAACTCAGTTTTTATTAGATCAAATCAAGCAAATACAACTGAGTTCGGTTATTTAGATGGACAATAATGAACTAAGACTTAATGCAACTAAGAGTCTAGCGTAATGAGCTCTCAGTCTCTAAGTCTTCTCGGGAATATCTTCTGTTCTCTGGTGTCGATTCGTCTCCCTTTATATATATCTTCTAAGTCGGTCTTCAAGCACATCTTAAGCGATATGAGACCGAGAGAACTTTCCTTTTCTCTCGGTTCCTTTCCTTTTCTCATGTTCGTTTCCTTTTTCAAATAGGAAGCTTTCCTATTTTTGACCGAACTCGGAAGCTTCTCCATTCCTTCGAGAAGCTTCTCGCCGACCTCAGCTTAATGAGCTGTATTCGGCCCAAGATTTCACTAAGCCCAGTCTTCCCGGTACAATCCTTCGTAAACCGGACTTACATTTCGCCGATCTCGGTTTGTACCGGAGAAAACCGAGGTGTGGTTTTCATCTCCAACACTGACAAACAGAAAAAGGATTCGAGAAGAGATCGTAACTCCGATGCCACTCGAAGAGAACCACCCATCTCTCACCTAGGTAAAAGGAAGTTTTCCTATAATCGATCGTAACTATTTAAGTTTGTTTTGGGTCTCAATCGTTTAGGAATGTGTAACTTTGTCACATTATCCTATTCTTCTGCTATGTATTATTATCCTTGATCATGAAGGCCCATTTCGGGAAAAAAAAAAGAAGGTCTTATCCTTGACCTGATCACATTGAGACTCTTGCTTTTACAATTTTTCGACAAATACCAAATGATTAAAAGTTAAGCACCCACTAAGAATTTCTCGTTACCATTTGTTAATAGGAACATATAATGTTTTTCTTTCTTCATTAATAGGAACAAGTGACCGAAATATGAAAAAGTAGATTAATGGGTATAAAATGGTGATTCGAAAAATAGTAGTTGGGATTTGGTATTTATATATATGTATATATACTTAAACGAAAAAAAGGTTACTTAATCTGAATGACGTTGAGGAGTAGTAGTGGATCTGCGCCAGATGAGTTCAAGCTCACGAGCGAATTCCTTCTGCCTCCCAACAACAATGGTGATGTGGTCTTTGTCGGGGACGACGTGGATCCTAGCACGTGGCACTTTTCTCTTGACGCCGTAGCTGCAATCCACGGGGATCAGCTCGTCCCGACCGCCGTGGAAGATTGTGACCTCACAGTCCAAGTTGTCACGGACATGGTCCAGATAAGCTTCCACTTTGCTCCCGGACCCGAAAATGATGTTGTGTAATGTGTGCCACGACGCATTGTGTGTGTGACACAAGAACCCTTCTATTAAGTACGTCCGCATTCTGCATATATCATCAGCATCCCATTATATTCATTGCTTTTATCGATTATTAGTATTAGTAAGATAGGTGAAATAAAATTTTATGCGCATTTAGTAGTTTATGTACAATTTTCTCATGTCACTATGTATACATTTTCCTCACATCTCAAACGTCAACTGAAGACGAGATTCAAAGTTCTCCGGCCGCCTACATTAATTGCGCTACGTCTAATCTATTATTTTGGTAGAAGAATGAATAGGTAGCTAGGTACCTGTTTCTGGTGAGTAGCTTGGTGAGAAATTCCAACAAGTGGTGGTTCTTGCATAGCACGAGACTGACGGTGCGGCTAACGTGCTCGTACCAGCTAGCCACTGAGGCGCCAAAGGCCATCGGAGGCCACACTTCTTTGGGCGCCACTCTTCTCATCACATATTGCGTCGCTTGCACTCCCTTTGGCACCGAATAATATGGCTGCATTTTCACATTTTCACATATATATGTATCAGTTACAATACTATTCTACCAGTACTAAGGATTGTTGAGCTAAAGTTTGAGGCATTTATATAGTTTGAGTCATGACTCACAGGAGCCAATAGAGTGAGTGACTTGATGGCTCCTGGGTGTTTAACCGCGAGGGCAAGAGCCAAGATGCAGCCTAAGGAGTGAGCCACTACGTGGAATGTTTTGAGTCTGAACTGAGAGATCACTGATCTCTCTATCATCTCTAAATGCTCTTTCAATGTATACAACGAATCATTCGGCTTTGGGCTTTTTCCGTACCCCAACAAATCCACTGCTAGGAACCTATAATTCGATTTGGCTGAGTCTGAGAAGTTTGGAAACAGAGTCTCCGTCCAAAACGTGGATGATGATAAGAACCCATGTATGAACACTACGTTCTCTTGTGCCTTGTTGTCTGCACATTCAAATATTATTATCACTTTAGCATAAGAAAAATAACATTTATGTTGTTCATTACAAGTAAAGTATTTGGCTTACAATTGGAGTTTCCTCTACGTTTTTCTTGTTTTTTAAAAGAATTAATGGCCTCCTTTTATCTTTGAAGGCAATTCATATGAAAATGATGTTTAATCATAATCAAGCGCGACTTTCCATTTATTTCAATAATTAAGGACTTATAATGTACTAGTGTGAAACCCAAATAGAATGCATAATACAGTTAATCCATTAAGGATGGTTCTTTGATTTAATACTAAGGTAGCATTCTTTTGTAACCAAGAATAATCCAACCTTTTGTTTATTCTTTCCCATTAGAATTTATTACTGCTCTCAGATGAGAATGCATGCTGCACGAGACACTAGAGTGTGAGAGAAAGAGAGAGAGCCGAAAGGGAAAATGTATTCAAATTTCAAAACAGGACCAGGAAACAGGGGATTGAGATTATGCACCCAATCTTATATTGTTACATTATATAAAATGTATAGAGCATCAAAAGGTGAATATATATATATAAAGTACCTTTGGGTTGTTGGACATTGACAAAGAGAGAATGGTTGGAAGAGGAAAGCCAAGAAGTGCAGAAAGTGCAATGGCAATCAGACCATCTTGGTGTTCTTTGTAACTTCTCGACCACCGTGGAGTTCACAGTCAGTAATGTCTTCTTAGTCAGTGATGATCTCTTCTTGGACTCATCACAGCATTCCACAGCATTCTTCTCAAAGCACTTCACCAGCTTAGTGAGCCTTGTGAGGAGTGAAGGGCGTGAGTAGAGCGTGTCGGAAATCTCATCCAAATGGATCTTTGTCCTTGTGAGCGAGACCACCTTCGAATACTCTCCTAATCTTTCCGACACTATCATCTTCCCGCCTCTGCTCCCTCCGGCCGCCGCTGGTTTGGCCTCGGGCGGCGGACAACAGTAGCAGGGTTTCCACTCGGACTCGAAGAAAAAATCAAGCGTCTTGTAGGTGAAGCAAAGCAAGAAATCGACAATGTCGAGGATGGAGAAGACGAAGAAGCCCACGGTGCGGTTGAGCCACCGTGAAAATCCCATGCTGTGGAGTCTAAGTCTTGTGGAGGAGAGCATGTATGTATGTAAATTGTATGATGGTGATGTATGTAACAGAGAGAGAGAGAAAAAAAATTATAATACTGAAGTTAATGGAGAGAGAGAGAACAGGTGGCAGATAGATGAAATTTATTGATCGCATTTAACATACATTGTTGGCCAAATGATGAAATTGGGTGGCCGTTGAATCTTCTTCGTAGCCTCTCTTCCTTTCGTAACTTTCTCAGCACTCGACCACGCATTTCCAGCCCATACTAACACATCACTTAATTTCTTTCTCTCTTTTTATTTATATCACTCAAAACATCAAATACTTGGCAACATGTGGTGTCCATTGGCCCGGCGATGTTCCAAAATGCTACTATAGCTACTTACTCACACATAAACTCAGTCAAGCCACCATGCATGTAGCTAGGGTTCCTTTGCGTTTATGTTAGAATTATGTTCTATATATTTAGAAAAAAATGTAGTTCGATTTTCGTTTACATTTCCAACTTGAACAAATATTTGATGAACAAACATACCATAGAAATGTTTCATTTAAAAACAACATGCTAAGCAGACACCAAAATATATGTTTCAAGCAATCAAAACCGTTTAAAAAAGAACAAAAAAAACAATGAAAATCGTAGATAGTCATGAATAATAATACTCCTATATGTTTTGTTTGGTAAGACCATTAATGAGGGCTTTGGCCGGTTGATGACTTTTGGGGTCTCAAACTAAAAGAGCGCAACTAACTGGATCTATATGAATAATATATGAGATACATTGTTTGTGAAGCTGAAACTAATGTATACATCAAATCATTGAAGTAATGGCAGAGGATGTAAACTGTAAATGTTGATAGCGAGATAAGAAGAATGAGAAGTGAAATGATGACATGTGGCCATCTAACTCAAAGCCATCACTCTGAATGCCCACATGCCCATCTAAACAGCCTAGCTGACCTGTTTTTAGACAATTCTATAATATGTATACACATTTTGGAAAAACAAGTTTAAGAGTTAGACTGTCAGTATACATATATAGTATTGATATATATTGCATAACGAAGAAGGACGTGTGCGGTGGTCTCAAGCCACGCTTAATCGCATCTCCTTGCCCATTAGTTATACTTAATTATACCATTTTCTCGAAGATCTGTTGGGGAAATATCAATGAAGTTGAAATATTCGAGTGCTTGCAGTTGTATGAGAAATGAGCGGGTATATTAAGGAACGTGAAACAATGTGCTATGTTTAAGAGGGTTTAAAAATTAAAAGTCTTGCGTCACATAATTAAAAAGCTGCCGCAGAGCCTATATTTATACATATTAACCAAACGATATCTGTTTGCTTCTAAGTTCAATCATAATATACGACAAGTTATTGATGGAGACATTTAGATCTATAAATCTTTTTCTTTTATAACAACCCTTGAATTTTATTTATGTATCACCATAGATTTGTTATCTTACACCATCCGGTGGTCTAAGCACTGGAAAATTCACTAACAGTCATGCATGTGAATTCTGATATCGTACATACGTTTAAGGGTGTAGCTAGAAAGATTTGGTGTAACGCTTGCTCAAACTCAACCATATGGAGCTGTTTCGATAGAGCATAAGAAAAAGTTGAATGTTAGGAATAAGAGGTAGCTACAACTGTAATGTTACAAGCAGTGACACACAAGTGTAATGCAGTAGTCACCGACGACTGCCATAATTTATATGTGTCCATTCCAACATGTAGCGTTAGAATTGGTTTGGACTGACAAGACTGAGTGACTAATAACAAATAAAAAAAGTATGCGATGGAAAAAGGTCAAAAGACTAAGAAGCCATAAATGCTATGTTGAGGGAGTTTGGTAGGGAGTTCACTTTAATTTATTGTTTCGCATCTTTTGAAACTTGAAAATGTTCCTGCCCTATATTATTTATCCCCATTTGCTAATTATTTAATCCATTTACTTTACCATAGGTCCATAGTCAAATATAATGGCACTTGGTATTTGATTAGCCATAGCCCATAGGGTATTCAGGATATATACGAATTCCAATCTGTCTCTCACACACACACACATCTTAAGGTATTTTTTGTCGTTTTACATTTTTTTCTTCAATTGATAAGGTATTAAATTAAATTACACATTTACAATTTCTTTTTTTTGGGGTACACATTGACATAAGGTACCTTAAGTCCTTAACACACTTTTTTTTTGTATCTCATATATTGTTGGGTGGGTTTCTCAATTATTGGAGATATCTCAAATTTTTATTTCTCTTTTTTTTTTTACTATTGTAGATATCAAGTCAGACATTTCCAATGGAGGTGCTCTAAAAGAATATTTAGTTATTACTTTGAGTTGTAAAAATTAATTTACCTGTATGAAAATAGGCCTCAGTGAAATGGGCTTGGGTGGACGTATGATAATTATAAATGGATCATAGTCCACACAAGGATACCAAAGTTTCTAGTCCACGCAAATAAAGCAGAGCTAAAAAGAAACTAAACGAATAACACCCCAAGTGAATTTATTGAAGACGCAAACAAAATGGAAACTTGTAAGTATTCTCTCACACCCTTTTGTGTGTGTATCTGTGTCCACTGTCCACTAATGTAGTAAAGCAGAGTATGTTGGTAGGGAAGAGCAGAGAGGAAGAGAGATCTTATCCATGGCGGCTATTTGATAGTCTCTAAGCAATTTATCTCTAATTTCGGCAACCTGACACTCGATGTGGGATTGCGGAGCGGAACGGAGAGATTGTGAAAGCTAACTTTCCATATTCCCTAACCAAATCAAAACTGAATTCACTAAAGCTCGGTTTGGTTCCTGTCGAATGCTCGCAAAATACAATAAAAGCCCAAGTTGGAGACTGGCGATTCACATCCCATATTGGCCTCGGGAGCCCATATATTTGGCTAATTATTCTATGGGTTAAATATTGATTAAGGCAAGTAACTTTACTTTTTTCTGTTAATACATGCCAAGTAAACTCATTAACCAGTAACCACATACATTTAGATACATGCAACTGTCAGCAAATCTGCCATAAGATGTAAAATCTAGACATGTACCACCGACAAGTCAATCTCAGACGACCCACTTGTGATGCTTGATGCGACGTCGTTTTCACCCTTGGCCACAGCTCTCACAGTCTCTATCAGCTCATTTGTTCTTCCATCTTCTGACAATATTTGCAACAGCTCTTCCGTGTTTATGACCAGCTTCGCTTTCCATATTCCACCTTTGTTGCTCGTACGCTTCCTCTTCGTCCTTTTCTCCTTTTGTCGGGTCCTCGTGTCGATGTTTCTTGAAAATACGTCTGTGTATGATCTCTTCAACACCCTGTGGTTGTAATCCAGAGACATTCTGTACGGAGTTATCGCAGGCAAGGACTCGCTGTTGGATCTTACGTGGCAGTTTCCGACAAAAGTCTTTAACTCGTCATCGGAGACAATATTGGGCAAGAGATAGTATGACTGACCGGGGACGAGGTGGTGGTGGTGAGGCAAGGGTTTCCAGAGGATATCAAGGGCCGAGAAAATAGCATGGCCTGAGAATTCGAGGTACACGGAGCCTGCGGTGACGGGGGAGTAGTACTCGAGAACTCCTCCGTCGGATTTTATGACTTTGATCGATAAGTCTTGCTCGTCGCCCAACCCTCCGAATAAACAGTTCCCCATGCTCGACTTATGTGCTCTTCTTAGTTTTGGTCTCTATATGGTCTAGTTATCAAGGTCGGTCAAGGTGAGAGAGTGAGAGCTTCCTTTATAATCCTTCTTATTTAATAGAAAAACATGAGACAAAGTATGTGAACATTAAAGCCGCGTACATCAATTGAAAACGCAGTGGAATCTTCTTTGCTTTTGATTTTAATACTGTTTTAGCTTATTTTTATTTTACTTTTTGTTTTGGAGTCATGCTATTACTGTTTATCTCTTTTGTTCGTTGGTGATGAACATACTGTATAATAAATTAAAAGGCGAAAAAATCGTTCGCTATTGTGACAAGTGACTTTAAACCTACACTTCCATATCGCCATCCATTTGATATACTATATCTTAACTTCCGTTTACATATTCCTTAAAAGCATGGATGAAAGAAGCAGATAGCCACTAATCGTGGAATTTTTTTTAGTGGCTTGTGATATCCCAAAAAGAAAAAGAGTTGGGCGGGCTATAAAGAATATATAGGTCGATTCATATTATATAGACCAAAGGAGAAGAGAGAAAAAAGTTTTTTTTTTAAAAAAAAAAGTAAAAGAAAAGGCAGAGTAATGCATGGGTCCAGTCCACTCCCATTGAATCCTAAAATAACTAGTTAATCATAAAAATAAAGTCCAAAGATCTACGAAGAGGTATCGGTGGAACCGTGGAAGTCTTTTTTCCAACTTCCCCTTTAATAAAAGAAGTTTTTGCTAAAAATAATCTAAAACTTGATTTTGAATACAAAAGTAGACCCCTGAAAAAATAACCTAAAGGGGTAGTGAAAAAACCATTTAATCCTGTATGAGTAAACAAAAAACGGATGTCTTAATTACCGTTTACACCCTGACGAAGTCTATTAAAGAGAGAAAGAAGTGTAATAGTAGACTTCTTTTATCGAAATGAAGTCTACTAAGTAATTAAATCTGGAAATTTAATTTTAAAATTTAGAAAATATTATTTTGGTATCAAATTTACATTCATAAATTCCGTAATCGTAACACAAATGTACAAAAATTATTTTTCATATTGCTAAATGGAAATTTATGTTTTTAAATTAAGTAGAAGAAAATTTATTATTTAGGTTTTAAAAGTTGTAGACTTCTATATTGAAGTCTGCTAAACCGAATAAATTAACCTAATCGCAATTTAAACTAAAATTAAACCAAAAATAATATCTTAACCAAATTTTTTTGTCTCATATATATATATATATAGTTGTAACCCTAATTTTTTAGTGAAAAAGAAAACTCTCCCCTCTTTCCTAAACGGCGCATCGCTCGACGCTCTCGTTCGCTTCTCTCGCCGCTCGTGCTCCCCTCTCTCGCCTCTCTTCTCACCATCCAGCTAGACTTATCTGACTCTTCTCACACCGTTGGATGTCACTCTTTCTGTCGAACAGCCTCCACCTTCGCCAGATCCGTTGGTGAAAAGATCTCTAAGCGTGATTCCACAACTTTCAGGTATTAACTCAGTTTTGATTTGTTTTGATTTCTTCTCTTCTAGCTTTTTTTATTGTTCACTCTTTTTTTATTGGATTTGATGTGAATCACTTTGAATCTCTTGATGATTTGTTATATTCGATAGTTTTTGTTTGAGGTTGAATCTTCATTTCATCTACTGTTCTTAGCAGATGAAGTCTTCGTTAGGGAAAACGACATACAATTATCTTCCTTCTTTGTATTTTCTTCTTGCAGATCTTTATTTATGAAATGGATTTATGGTTTTTGGGTGTTTCAGATGGAATCTCATTTTGTTTGGTGCGGTTTCTAAGGATGCAGAAGCGGTGATTGTGGACCAGGAGTTGTGTATTTAGTTGGGACAGGACCTGGAGATCCTGAGCTTTTGACTCTTAAAATGTAAGTAGCCATCGAAAAGAGACAAAATCTGCAGAGTGTTTCAGTTTATTTTCTGCGACTTTGTAAATGTAAAGCTTCTTCTTTTAGTTGTGTAGGATTGTAATGTCATTCAAACTCGTATTTGCTTAGGTTTTGGGCTTAGGTTAAGAGAGTTCAGAGGAAGACGGTCGATGGATCCTAGGATATGGCACAAAGTCGCTGCCGTTTCGGGTAAGAAGAAATGTCTCTGATTTGATTGTTGTAAGGAAGGTAGAGACTGATTATGTCTACTGTAGGTATGGCTGCTCTTGGTTTAGGAACTTATGGGGCTCATGTATTTAAGCCAGAGAACCCTTCTTACAAACAGGTCAAAGATTTTGAATTTGGTTGCTTTTTTACATTCAGCTATCTTAGTTTTTCATTTTTTGTTGGATTTAGTTTTGATTTGTCTTAAAAAAGTTATGATCTTTCAGGTGTGGCAAACGGCTTCTCTTTACCATTTGGTACACACTACTGCTCTTGTCTCTGCTCCTAGCACCAAATATCCAAATATTGTAAGAAGAACCATGTTCTTGCGTTTTTGTCGCATCAGATGGAATTGTTTTGGAGAATTTGGTTGCTAGATTCTTGAATGATGTCCAAGTTCCAGAGGTGAGGATTTCACTTACATATGTTGCTTGAAAAGTGTGAAATATGCTGGGCCATGAAATATCATGAAGCCGACACTCTCTGTTTGGATTTTTTAGGCTCGTGCTTTCTGTGGGTTTCAAAATGCCATGGAGAACATTCAAGTCACCCCCACGTAATGTTTGTTGGGAACTCTTATGAACTGGTTCATAAAGGCTTCTTCAAATAGTTAATCGTCAAAGTAGTGATTTTGTAATCGGGAATAAACTTTGATATTGGAAGTTTATGTTTTGTCTTTAGGCACCTACTTTATTTGATTCTACGTCTGGTTAGGTTTTGTAACCATGAATTTCAAATCTTCAGTTCTATTTGTTTTGTAAGAATGAATTTCAACAATTTATAGATCCATCGTTGATCTGTAAACCATGTTCATCATGTAATGCAAATTGATGTTATTATATGGAGATCTTCTTAGTTTTTTTTTTAAGGGATATGATAATAAGCCGTAAAAATGATCGAAACTCTTGAATGCACATAACAAAATACTTGCATATATTGTCTCTTACCAAGTGTGTCCACGACAATGTTTTAAAATTAGCTTATGTCACTTTAATTGCTTGTGTACTATAACAAAATGCCATGAATTCTCCTTAAACTTCCACTCACCGTACACAACTAGAATTTGAGCCATTCTCTGAAAAAATAAACATATAAACCGCATAGAGACTTTTTTTATCAAAGTAGACTTCACGACGAAGTCTACTTTGATAAGCTTAGTACCTTAAAAATCGAAACTTCTGATTCAACAATAAATATTCAATGAAACGGAATAAAAATCACTAGGTAGTTCAATCACTAACTAAGAAACAATTATAAACAAAAACAATTGAAAAATAATTTATAAATTTGCTTAAAATGCGTTTTTACAAAAACGTCAAAACGTAGACTTCTATTGCAGACTTAGAATGTAGACTTCACGACGAAGTCTACTTTGATAAGCTTAGTACCTTAAAAATCGAAACTTCTGATTCAACAATAAATATTCAATGAAATGGAATAAAAATCACTAGGTAGTTCAATCACTAACTAAGAAACAATTATAAACAAAAACAATTGAAAAATAATTTATAAATTTGCTTAAAACGCGATTTTACAAAAACGTCAAAACGTAGACTTCTATTGCAGACTTAGAATGTAGACTTCACGACGAAGTCTACTTTGATAAGCTAAGTACCTTAAAAATCGAAACTTCTGATTTAGCAATAAATATCCAATGAAATGAGATAAAATTCACTGGATAGTTCAATCACTTACTAAGAAGCAATTCTGAACCAAAAAATTTGAAAAATAGTTTATACATTTCCTTAAAACGCGTTTTTAAAAAACCATAGTAAAATAGACTTTTACATTAGACTTCAAATGTAGACTGGAGGAGAAGTCTACTTTTTCATTGAGAAGTCTACAAATGAAGTCTACTAAAAAAAGGTTATTTTTGCAATTGACCAATCTGTTGACTTTTGCTTCAGTAGACTTCAGGAGTAGAATTCAGGTAAAAAAGGTTACTTTAGCAATTGACCAATGCATTGACTAACATAGTAGACTTCTATTGTAGACTTCATGTAAGAGTAGACTTCTCTGACAGTCTACTTTTGAAGTCTACTTTTTAAATAGAAGTCTACGGAACAAAATATGTTATTTTTGCAATTGAATTTTTTAGTAGACTTCACAATGAAGTCTACTCAAAAAAATATTCCTTCTAAGTTTGACCGAACACAATAAGTAGACTTCCCAGAGAAGTCTACAGTTTGTAGACTTCTTTGTGAAGTTTACTGAAGCTTTTTGGAATTTTTTAAATTTTTTAATTTTTGAAAAACAGAAGTCAAACACAGAAATGACCTTTACGTTTTTGGTCAAACTACAAAAGTAACCTGAAAGTAGACTTCGTATGCAGACGAAACAAGTAGACTTCATAATGAAGTCTAAATCCAAAAGTCAAAATACGGTCAACTACAAAAATAACCTCTTTTTTTTCGTAGACTTCTTAAGCCTTCAAATGAAGTCTACTATGTTTTTTTTTGTTTTCAAAGGATATCGAGTAGACTTATCGTGAGGTTTAATGAAGTCTACTTTTTAAAAGTCAATTGCAAAAATAACCTTATGTTGACTCATAGACTTCAGTATAGTTCACGAGAAGTCTACTTTCGCGATATAAAAACTGAAATGTGGAGAAATTGAAGTGCGAGGATTACCTTTAACAAAATTGAGCTCCCCTAAGTTTCTCTTATCCACCCAGAACTTAGGATTTCACCAAAATTAAACAATCCAGGTGTCGAGTAAACCAAAATTCACCGAAAAAGCATGGCGCGAAGCATTGTAACTTTGCCCAGATGTTTTGGAGAAGAAATTATGATAGAATGAGCAAGGTTATGAGTGAATGAGCTTAGATATTTGTTTTATTACAGCTTTAAAACTGGTTGATAAGCATTTATTCCATTTTCATGGTTGTTCATGGTGGTTGAATGTATTGAAGACGATGGCATTCACATAATTAAAAAGTGTTTAGAAGGTCCAAGAAGACTTTAGCCAATTAAAGAAAAATCGAATTATTAGATATATAATGGCATTTTCGTTAATAGTTTAAGTGGGAAAGATAAAATTGTGAGAAAATGTCAAAAGTTAGAGAGAGAAAAAAAGATGTTAGTTTTGTGTTTGACTTTGAAATATGGGTTAAATCTGAAACTCTCCCTTAGTAAAACGCATCGGTCTCTGTCCCTATTTTTGGAGTCCATATACGAATGCAAAAGTCCGATTTTGGCACCAGAAGCTAGTACTTCTACATGCCAAAATTGATCCAAATTCTAACATAACTGTCAATGGCATGTGATCTAATTTTTTGCAAACGAAAAGTTTGTTATCAAGTTTTAGTTGTCAATTAATACATGGAGGATACAAAATTGTTTAAAGGATCCCTTGTTTGATTGTTTTTATGGATACTACTTCATCGGAAGTCTAATTATTTAACTAGCAATGAAGTTTCTTATTTGAGACAAACTATTATGGGATACACCGACTTGTAAGGATTTTAGCAATGGATTTGCAATAGTCCGTGATTAAACAATCTACTTCTTGCATTTTTCAAGTTTTTCTTGTCAATGTCATTTTTCTTATCATCCTTTGAAAAGTCTTTGTACTAAGTATAGTTCATATCATCATTTGAAAAAGACTAAACGTGGCCTACTTGACTGCTCTCTGTAATGGAGGCTTTTCTCTATTAAGGAGTCTTCTCTGGGCAAGTTCAAGTCCTCCATACTCACCCATTCTACATGTCTAGTACTTTTAGGGTTTTAAATAGCTAGTAATAGCGGTAAAATAATGTTATAACTAACTAAATTCTAAATTTATTTTCTTCATTCCAAAATAGCCAGTTACTACTAAGCCATGTACAAGATTTATGAACTGAAATGTTATTGCGATGTTAACAAATTATATATTTTTAAAAAATAAGTTTGTATTGATTGATATAACTTGTATATATTTGTATAATTTGTTTTCAATTGGTTTTTAAATCAACCGGACATATGCAAAACAATTTCTCAAAAATGTATAGAGCTACCAATTTTTTTAATAAAAGGTTGCAGCCAACCACATTCGAAATTTAAATTGTAAATGATGATCAAATGCGATTGCCGCATGCATGTCACACTTACAATTATGAATTATCACTTGAAAGAAAAGAAAAAGTATTTGATGCTTTTTTTGATTCGATGTTATCTCTCTAGAGAATAGAGAGCAGAAGGATGAAAACACTGAGCATTAAATAAGATGGGACATTCCATAACCCACAGAAAATTGAATACAATTAAATGAATACAATGCAAGGGTCAAACTTGGATGTATAAAATACGTAAATATGGTTGAAACGGAACGTGGAGTATGTGACTATGTCTGTCAGCCCCGGAAACACTCTTAATGACTACGGTCCCATACATACAAACATATAATACAGGACCATTACCCATTTATTGTTTTCTTTCACCTTTGCTTGGTGTTTTATATTGTTTATTTCTATTTTCCTTAAGTTATGTATTATTATTATCAAAATCAATCAGGTCTTAGAACCGCTGATCCAAAAAGAGAGAGGAAGAAGTTAGAATTGTGTTCATTTACTTGCTGAATAATCTTGACGTTTCTTCTCCTGTTTATTGTCTTGTTGGAGTGTTAGTCAACTGGAAAGTCTGTATCAACCCAAAAAAAAAAAAAAAAACAATTATGGTCCTACTCCTATATATAAATTCAGCTGAATACCTCTCTTCAACATTCAGAGCTAAAAATAACTCAGGAGAGTCTTGCGGATGGAAAAACAAGGCAAATTTATCACTTGTAGAGGTAATTTGTGTATGTAGATAAAATGATCAGTGTTCTTTATCAATGATCAGTGTATTAAAATGATCAGTGTTCTTTATCAATGATCAGTGTATATGTAAGTGTAAAGCTAAGCTAAAGAGTGAATGAAAATGAACAGCGGCTGTGGCATGGAGAGCTGGAGAAGATCTAGTGATGGAGGATGTAAAAGTGGATCCTCCTCAGAGATTGGAAGTGAGACTTCGAATCCTCTTCACTTCCATCTGTCACACAGATCTTAGCGCATGGAAAGGCGAGGTACCCTTACTGAGTTTACTATTTCTTCTTCTTTAAGTACGTAGCCCTTTCAGTTTATTCTTCTTCTTCCTTCTCTGTCTTTTCGTCAGAACATGGCCCAGCAAGCATACCCACGAATCCTTGGTCATGAGGCTGCAGGGTAATTAATTAGTGGAATAAATATATATATATATGTTCTTTCCCCAAATTGATTGAGAAATGAGATGTTGGATATGAATGGAAACATTAATCACAGGATAGTGGAGAGCGTAGGGGAAGGAGTGGAAAATATCCAGGCAGGGGATCATGTGCTCCCTATTTTCACCGGAGAGTGTGGAGAGTGCAGAGTCTGCAAGCGAGACGGAGCAAATCTGTGCGAGAGATTCCGAGTGGACCCGATGAAGAAGGTGATGGTAAGCGACGGGAAGACCAGATTCTTCACCAGCAAAGACAACAAACCCATCTTCCATTTTCTTAACACATCCACCTTCTCCGAGTACACGGTCATAGACTCGGCCTGCGTTGTCAAGGTGGACCCTTTGTTTCCTCTGGAGAAGATGAGCCTCTTAAGCTGCGGTGTCTCCACTGGTAATCAACATCTTCTAATAATTATGTGTGACATCATGACATGTGGTTTGTTTCTTTTGTTAATGAAAGAGACAAAGTTGTAATGTTTTATGAAATGAATGTTGAAGGAGTGGGTGCGGCGTGGAATGTGGCTGATATTCAGCCTGGCTCCACCGTCGCTGTCTTTGGACTGGGCGCTGTTGGACTTGCCGTAAGTGTTTCCTTTTTCTCTCTCAATTTTTTTTTGTTTTTCTCTCAGTACATATAGTATATAGACACACTCTTAACTGTTAACTGGCGAAAGGTGGCCGAGGGTGCAAGAGCCCGGGGAGCCTCTAAAATCATTGGGATCGACGTCAACCCTGACAAGTTCCCATTAGGTATGTTATATACATATGTTGATGAGATATTTATATATACAAAGAGATGGATTCTTAATACAGTTTATTGTAAGTTGTAGCTACTAAACAACAATTGATTCAACAGGGAGAGAGGCAGGGATAAGTGAGTTCATAAACCCAAAGGAGAGTGACAAGGCGGTTCATGAGAGAGTGATGGAGATAACAGAGGGATCAGGAGTGGAGTACAGCTTCGAGTGTGCGGGAAGCATTGAAGCACTTCGAGAGTCCTTTTTGTCTACAAACTCGGGAGTGGGAGTGACAGTGTTGCTTGGCGTTCACGCAAGCCCACAGCTTCTCCCTATCCATCCCATGGAGCTCTTCCAAGGCAGATCCATCACCGCCTCTGTTTTCGGAGGCTTCAAACCCAAAACCCAATTGCCTCTTTTCATCACCCAATGCCTCCAAGGCCTTGTCAATCTCGACCTCTTCATCTCTCACCACCTTCCCTTCCACGATATCAACAAAGCCATGCAGCTGCTCCACCAAGGCAAGGCTCTCCGCTGCCTTCTCCGCCTCTGATCATTCCATCTTTTTTATTTTATTTTGTTGTTCAAATGTTATTGTGATCATTTTTGTTTTCTACTGTTGATTGTGGATCTCAACTTGAGAAGTCAATTCTGTAATTTGAGTCGGAAAGACTCTTCTTATTCATAAATCGAGTTCGGAATACAATGTTCGAGTTCGGAGATCTCTGAGTACAATATTCTGTGAGCTCTCTATTCCTCAGGAAAGTGTCCAGCCCATTGAACAGTAACAAAATTTTCTATTTATAATACATTGATGACCATGTACTTTCTCTCTCTAATCCCACCAATTTTAGTCATTAGACTTTATCGCTGATGGGCCATATTATCAGACTGGACTCATTTCAATATAAACCATCATAAACCGAATTTAATTAGACCATTCTCAGTCTATACCGGGCCAAACCGGATTGGGAAGCATACCACCAATATCTACTACTGCCATTGAGAGTCCTTGTTGTGTCCACCTCCCACACTTAATTGATCACCAACTTATACCACCGCGGAGTGGACGCAATTAATCAAGGTCACGAAACTCTTTGACTGGTTTTTGGATTAAGTTCTGATACAAGAAAACGATGAACGAAATTGATAATAGAAAAAAACAATAAAGCAAAGACGAGTTCAATGTGGAATTCGTCTTTATTAGTCCTGTCTCTAAACACATTCAGTTTTAGATATTCCTCTGGTGTTCCATGACAGTTACTCCATCAGAAACTTAGTAGACAAGAAACTATGGGTATGTTTATTAGACAGCTTGGAATCATCAGAAATTCATCACTGTAAGAATAAACTCTCGCTTCCTTTTCTCGTTACCACTATTACATGATTGATATTTGATACATCATCCACCAAGACTGCTAAAGAGACAGCCTTTCTCTATTCAAATTGCAATAAGGAGAGAAACCCTTCCACCCATCATTCGCTCTCTCTCTCTCTGTGTGTCTACTTACACCACGTACACTCCCTCCTACATCCTTTTCCCCATTCTTGCAAATCTTCTGGCTACTCCGAATATTACCGCCTTTGTCAACAGCCCTTTGTCCAGCGTACATGCAAGCGCAATGGCCCCTCCCACCACTAGTAGCTTTGGTATGGCTTTCCCCGTCGGCTTCTCTGCTGCAACCTCTGCTATCGAATCCCTCTCATTCATGAACTTCTCCGCACTCACTTGGGTGTTGATGTGAGCCATTCGGGCACTTGGGGATAAACCTGCTCCCTCTGCTTTGGCCCTCAGATAGGCACGTAACCCTGGCTCAATTTTCTTCACCGCACCCCACATCCCTTGTCTCACCCCGAGCTTTGCAAGTTCCCACGGTATTCCCATATCTTCATGGTGAAATAGTAGTACCTCACACGATGTCATCTCACCATCGCCTCTTTTCGATTCAACTACAACACGATGAAATATATCCATTTTAGAAACTAACAACAACACTTGAGAGAAACAGAGACAATTTGCTTAAGTGCATCACAATCCTAGTACCTGCACGGATGCACCAGCTGGAATAGTATAAGTCGACTCGCCTTGGCTTGTTTTGCCTTGGTACAGACGGGTATTGTACTCCCTAAGACAAAATACAAGAGCCCAATATATATTAATTAGTTATAGCCACATGTCAACAATATCCAACCAAATCCACAAGAAGGATTACTAGCAAGGGAGTGAATGGAAAACCTTTGTAATGCAGTAAAACACTCGGCCAGCATCCCAAATGCGACGACCTATAATATACTCCCTGTCGCTACAAAAGAAGGGGAACTGCAACACAGTAGCAGGGGAAAAAACATGAGTCAGAGAGAGAGAGAGAGGAGGCGAACACAAGGTAGCAAAGCTAAGAGAGAAAGAAGAAGAAACAAGCAAGTGTTTGGATACCTTCCGCACCCACTGCACAACCATAGTGCCCGTGTCCTTGCAATGCTCCAGAGTAGAAGAATACAAAAGCATATCATCCCACTTGGAACGGAACTCATCATCCCAAAAGAAGTCCCTCACCATCTCGGGAGTGGCATCCTCAAACAAAGTTCTGCTACGGTACTGGGGAGGCCCATTCTGGCATCACCCATCCATACAAAAATCAAGAATGATGATGATTCAACTTCATATGTGAAAGCAAGGCATTCCAACTTAAAAGGAAGGGTACCTCAGGATCTCGCCTCCAAGCTTGATATGAGAAGGTTGGGGTTGATCGGTCCATCATTTGAATCCAAGCAGGGCCGCCATCTTTGACCTCAACCAACTTCCATAGATGCCTAAAATCATCTTCCGTTACAAACCCGGATTTCTCTTTCTCAGCCTGGGGTTGGGGAGAAAGGCTACACACACCACCACCCAAAAAAGCAAGCAGAGTTTGTTATATATTTGGCAGAGAGAGAGAGAGAGAGAGAAGTGGTAGTGGGGAAATTGGGTTTTATAACATCAAATCAAACCAAGAAGTCAAATCAAATCACCTGGGAGGATCAGGAGAAGAGGTCTTGAGGACGGAAGTGGGAAGCTGAAGGTTGAGGGGGTTGAAGGTGAAGCTGAAGAAATTGGGTGAATCGGACAATTGGAGTTTAACATCTCCGGAGGTGAGATAAGCCCACTTGGGCCTCCAAACCCAACCCACCAAAACCCCGGCAGCGACGGCAATCCAGAGTGGTGCAGCAAGTACTAAAAGGTCAGAGAAGCCGGGGATGTGAAGCTCGAACAACAAGGAACTCAATCCCATCTTGACCAACCCAGAATAGATTGAGAGAAGAACCCCTCGACGGAATCGGATTGGGGTCTTGGCCTCTTGGGAGGGAGGAGTCGAGAAGAGATTGAGCAAAATGGGAGAATAAAAGAGAGAGAGAAGAGGATAAGGATTAGGATTTGGGAGATAGTTGGATTACTCTAGGCCCAATTTCGCACTTCGATGCAATCTTCTCTCACACCCCTCCACCTCTCGTTTCTTCTATACGCCAACACACAGACACATTTCTCTCGAAAAGTGGATAATAAACAGACCAAAGTATATCCACACGTTCCTCTCCACGTGTTTTTGTCAACTCGATTCTGTGGTCGCCGCATCCTCCTTCCCTTATTTTTTTTTCTTTTTCTCTTTCACATATGTTTCCCTTTAGATAATATAAGTATAACATTCAAAAGAAAAAATTGGAAATTATAACGCCAAAAGCTCCGTATCACCGTCGATCTCAGCACTACTGTCAAAAAATTGTCAAGCTAAGATCGCCGTGGGCAGACTGAGACAATTCTTAGGCACTTGCGAATCGAACTCGCTCATGCCATTCCCAACTCCATTTCTTTTTCAGAACCTCCTCTTTTTCCCGGTACTCGATTTCTGGGTACCCTTATTTGAGCTTTTCTTGGTACTAGTAAGGCACATGTGTTTCGTTTCATAGGTATTGTATATCTCCTGATAATTCGTTAAATCTACCTGTTGCTTTACATTTACAATCTTTTGGCTTTTGTTGATTTCTCTTGATCTTCAGAAAATAGGTTAATCGCTTTTACCTTATTATCTCAGTATACTAGAAATATATGTGTAAATGATTTATATGGTTGACACCTTGCTGCTTCAGAAAAAGCTTAGCGGCCTCTTATGTTAAATATAGTATCTAAAGGACCATTTTTTTGCTTTTATTGTAGAGCTTGAAACTGAGTCATGAGCTTCGCCTATACGACATTGCCTTTTTCGTTGAGTTTTGGTTGATAGACCTGGTAAACTTCTTCATTTTTCATAAAGCTTTTCCGCGAAGAATGTCAATTGTTAAATAAATTCAGTTGCTGAATATGGTGCTTTTTGCTAGTTCTATTGTATACCATATTAAGTGAAACTATTTATAAGTGGTTTAAAGTCGTTTGCTAGGACTTCATATCCCAGGACCCAGGCTATGAAATGTATTGTGTTTTCATTATATATATTTGCAGTTTTGCTATGTTTGTGTAGATATGCATTGGCTATGCAGCCTATGCTTGCATGTTTGATTGAAGTTGAGCATTATATGTCATTATGGTGTTGATATACACCCTCCATTTTTCTGATCTCACTTGTAAAGACTTCGAATATCTTTAGTCTTTTTATGTGGGATTAAAACACTTGTTTGCTTTTGCCTTGTTAGTATTTTGTTCCGGTCGTTGTGGATAAAAAGGAGAAGATGAAGGGAGAACCGGCGTGTGAGAGCAGAGGCGGTTCAAGCTACTTTTTGTGATTTCGTTTGTTTCAACGGCTGGTTTGTTGTCGTTGGTGGTTGTCACTGGTTGGTGGTTGCTTGGCTCCTGTTTCGTCTATGTCAATTCTCGCAGTTTGTTAATTGTCAGATTATGTCCTTTTATTTATTTTGTTTCTGGGGATTTAGTCCGCCGGCTTATGTAATTTGTTTTGTTTTCTTTTGTTTGGGCTCTTGATTCCGGATGGAAGTAGGTCCTTGCCGGCTTGTGTACTGTTTGTAATTTTGACTCTTTCATTTAATCAAATACTAGATTTTACTCTGTGCATTCGCATGGAAATTTATCAAATTTTGTAATATAATTTATAATTTTGTTTAGATATATTTTTTTAATAAGTGATAAAGATTCAGTTTTTGTTTATATATATAATTTATGTTTAAATTTTTCTGTTAGTATTTTTATGATCGCGAAGATAAGAACATAATTATAATTCAATTATTCTAATAATCGAAAAAGATAGTTATTATTAAAACATAATAATCTAATTCATTCATTTTATTAATGCGAAAAAGACTATGGTTATAAAAACATAATTCTAACCCATCTGTTCATATTACTATATAATAACATATTTACTAATTTTAAAAATATTTTTAGCTTAATAACTTGCATGTTTTGATAACTTAATCCGCATAAAACCACAATTATAAAAAAACCTAACCCGTCCAATCAACTTACCATATAATATAAATATTTATCAATTTTTAATATGTAAACTTTTGACAGATTAATTATGAATAAAAAAACACAATAACATATTCGTTAATTATATGTTTATTATGAAAATATTATTTAAATTTCAAATGTTACATTAAATCTAAACTATATTTAAAGAAGTCTAAAGTAATTTAACTTAATATCTAACTTTTTAGACTTAAACTTAATTGCAATTTTTTAAAATATTTTAAATTTTAAATTAACTATAATTTATATTAAGAAAAATTCAACTATCTAAATTGATATCTAATTTTTGGAATTATTTTTTATATATAAAAAAAATATTTTTAAAAATTATATCGTAATAAAATAAGATAATCTTAAAACAGTTTTTAAATAATTATTTTTTAAAAACAATTTTAGAAGTGTTTGGATGCAAACACTAAAAATACTTCTATTTTAATATAATAGATTAAATACCAGATGATAAAAAATACAATTTATTAAAAGTTTGGTTTTTTTTTCCCACATCGACAAATTTGGATAATTGAGAAGGGGAAGCTGCACTATAAGTCTATAAGTTTTGGGTCTAAAACGACTTCTGCGTGCAATCCACTCCAGTTGGGCCTGATTAATCGCTTAGCCTTCGAGATTTTTACCACAAGTTTGAAAATTTTATTTAATCAATATTCTAAGGGAATACAACTTTGGATTTTTGGATTTGGATAACGTGCTACGTTACTTACCCCCATCTTATTCGATTGGAAACTTCTATTTTTTTTTTTCACTCGAAACCCCATATTATTAAGTTTGCGGTAAAAGACTCTCCTCAAGAGAAAGCCAAACCGGAACTGAAAAGTTTACATGGGAAAATCTTAAACCTCGTGTTCTTGCACTCTTGGCAAGTTTATCCGCACGGACGTTACAAAGACGAGGAATATAAACTAATTTAAAGGATCTAAATTGAGAAAACATAGCTTTGAAATCCCCAAGTTCAGCTGCAAATGTAGGCCACTCAGCTGGGGAATCCGTCATAGCTAGGAGGTCAAGGCAATCCGTCGCAAAAGTTTCACATTGGATGTTGGCCGAGAGAATGCACTTCATAGCCCAAAGAAGAGAGTCTAGCTCGGCATGGAGGGGCGATAGACTACGCGATGAGCTTCTAAGTCCAACTCTGAGTATTCTGTCTCCCAACGATACCAGCCAACCGTGGCCACTGAGAGGATCTGAAGCGTGCCAAGAGCCATCAAAGTAACAGGTCGTGATGGACGTCAAAGACGCACTTCCAAGCTCTCGTCTAACTCCTGTCACCTCTAAGGTGTAGTCCACCTCGTTAGCATTCCTCCAAGTTTCCTCCTCATGTATTGCATGCTCCAGAATATCTGGGGGAGGATCATCTATGTTGTCGAAGACTTTTTTGTTCCTTGACTTCCATAAGAACCACATGATCCAAGGGAAGATACGTAGATTTTCTTCCGATGTTCCAAATTCCTTAGCTCTCCAAAACAGGTAGTCAAGATTACCAAAGATAGAAGCTTGGGGGAAAATGCTTGGTGCCGAAGGGATAGGTGAGAGAGCCCATACTTGCTTCGATGGTGGGCATTCAAAAATAACATGGTTAATAGACTCTTCCTCTGCACCGCACCGGGGACATCTTTTATCCCTTCCAATATGGCGGGAAGCTAGACGTTGGCATGTCGCCAGACAACCCGTAATACATTGCCATACGAAATGTTTAATTTTTCGTGTGGTTTTTAACTTCCAAGCTTGCGCCGACAGTACCGTAGTACTAGGTCCCTGAAGAGGGGGGTCACAAGCAAGACGAGATAGGGATCTCGCAATCCAATAGCCTGATTTTACCGTATAATTACCGGATTTAGTGAGGGACCAGCTGTATCCATCTCTCGAGACATATTGACTCGGACGAATCCCTAGGATAAAGGCTATCTCCTTGGGCGGGAAAAGCTCCCGAAGTCGGGCTAATTTCCATTGTTTTGATTCAAAATCAATCAAGGAGTTGACGAATAGAAGAGGATCTCGTTCAACATGTAGTCCTTCAGGAGGTCGGGGCGGGTCGTCTGGGATCCACGGATCTGACCACACCAGCGTTTCAAACCCCGATCCAATGTTCTTACGAAGGCCCGAAGCTAAAAGGGGTTTAGCAGCTAAGATGCTTCGCCATCCGTATGATGGACGGTTGGAGACAGTAATCTCTAGGGGACTACAGTATTTGTAATATCTTCCTTTTAAGACCCGGTTCAGTAGGGAGTCAGGGAACCGGAGGAGGCGCCACAACTGTTTCGCTAGGAGAGCGAGGTTGAACTCTTCAAAAGTCCTGAACCCGAGACCTCCCTCTGCGAGATGGGTGCAAAGGGAGTCCCAAGATACCCAATGGATACCTCTGCTTTCCTCCTTGGAGCTCCACCAAAAATTGGCAATTGCACTTCTAAGTTTGGAGCAAATAGCTTTCGGGAGAAGAAAACACGACATAACATATGTCGGAATCGCTTGAGCTTGGGATTTAATCAAGATTTCTTTGCCCCCTTTAGAGAGGAGTTTTGAGGACCATGAATTAACCCGGTTTTGGAGCCTGTCTCGGACAAAAGCAAACACTTGTGCTTTGGAACCGTGGAGTTTCTCTGGGAGCCCAAGGTATGTGCCCATGCCTCCTTCTTGGTAGATCCCAATAGTGGTCTTGACTTCTTGACGGATGATAGTTGGAACATCGTTGCCAAACATAATAGATGATTTCGTAAAATTAATCTTTTGCCCTGAAGCCTCGCCGTAGGAGCGGATAATGCCAATAAGTTCACGACTTTGTACGGGTTCAGCCTTACAGAAGAAGAGACTATCATCTGCAAATAAAAGGTGAGATGTGGTGGGACTAGCCCTAGCGATCCGGAGGCCTTGTAGTTTCTCTTGTGCTTCGGCTAAACGGAGTTGAGAGACTAAGGCTTCGGTACACAAGATGAAAAGATACGGTGATATGGGGTCGCCTTGTCTGATTCCTCGAGATGGTTTAATACATCCTCTCGGTTCTCCGTTTAGGAGGATCTTGTAGGATACTGACGAGATACAATACATCACCCATTCAATCCAGCGGGGGGAAAATCCCATCTTTTCCATCAAGGCACGGAGGAACGACCACTCCACTCTGTCATATGCTTTACTCATGTCCGTTTTTACTGCCATGAATTTCTTCCGGCAAGCAGGATTAGAACGGAGGGCATGGAAATTCTCTTGTGCAATAAGGATGTTATCCGTGATCAATCTTCCAGCTACAAAAGCTGATTGGGTCTCAGAAATAAGATCTGGAAGGAACTTTTTCAGCCTAAGGCTGAGAATCTTAGAGATGATCTTATAGCTAACGTTGCACAAGCTTATGGGTCGGAAACCAGTCATCTCACGTGGCTTATCTCCTTTCGGGATTAGACAAATGTTTGTCTCATTTAGTTGTGCGTCAAACTTCCCTGAAGAAAAGAAATCTCTAATCGTCTGGAGGAGATCCATCTTAATTGTACCCCAAAATTTCTGATAAAATAGTGCTGTTAACCCGTCGGGTCCTGGAGCTTTTCCGGGGTTTAGGGAGAATAAAGCTCGTCGAACTTCCTCTTCCGAGATCTCACGGGTGAGACTTTCATTCATCGCTTCAGTAACCGATGCCGAAACCCCGTGGAGTACCGAGGATGGATCTTGAGGGCACGAAGAAGTAAAAAGGCCCTCGAAATACTGTACGGCCAATTCTTTAATGCCTTCCTCAGTATCAATCCACTCTCCCAAATGATTGAGCAGACCCAAGATCTTGTTCCTTGCTCTCCGTTGTTTTGTGGTAGCATGAAAAAAACCGGTGTTCTTATCTCCCTCTTTCAACCATAGAGCTCTACTTTTTTGTCTCCAATATGATTCCTCTTCCCGATATGCTGCAACTAACCGCCATTTCAGATCCCGAAGAGCCTCTGAGGAAATATTCTCATCTTCTTGGGCTTTATCAATTTGCTCTTGGAGGAGTTTAATGAGTTTTTCAGAATTAGTGACTAAGCTTTTTCTCCAAACGGATATAGCTCGACGACATTTACGAATGCGAGATGCTAAGGAGCCATTTGACATAGTTAAAGGCTTTCCCCACCCATCTTTCACTGCCGCTTCAAGGCCAGGTTTCCCAACCCATCTCTTATCGAACATGAAACGGTGAACATGTCGTGGTGGTTTGTTGCTAACGGATGCTAAGAGTGGTCTATGGTCCGATCCCCACATTTTGAGATACTCCACATTTGTGTGGGAGAAAACGTTATGCCAGTCTTCGTTACCCATAGCTCTATCCAAGCGGCATTTGATCACTCCATTTTTTCGGCGGCCAACCCACGAGAATGGATTGCCTTGGTATGGGAAATCTACAAAGCCGCAATTTTGAATCATGGCTCGAAAAGGTAAGAAAGTGGCCTCGGACCGTTTCTTGCCACCACTTTTTTCATGGTTCCCGATTATTTCGTTAAAATCTCCGATAATAAACCATGGGCATGAGCGAGAGATGCCAATACGATTAAGTCTTTCCCAAACATAATCTCGGTTTTTAACAACAGGATCGCCATAGATAAAAGTCATAAAAACTCTATTGCCATCGATAAG